CGAACTCAGGCCCTTACACAGACCCCGATGCCTGTTTTTTCAGCCCATTACGAACTCCCATGTGACATAAACGTACTTCCCCCTTTTTTTTATTATTATTATTTTTTTCCTAACCATTCCTTCGCTTGGTATTGAATGACCTGAAACAGAGGCCCGGGACCTCAGAACTCAACCAGGATTGCTAGAAAATAGGTCCAGCGTTCTCTCTTGGGTATCCGACTGGAAAGCAGGTCCAGTGTCCTCGTAAAAAGATGTAGAAACAGGCTGGAAAGCAGGTCCAGCGTCCTTTCTAGGAGGGTACTTCCAGTAATTCTAACGTCTTTGCACATAAAAGGAAAAAAGGCTTATTACAGAACAGATGTTCGAGGATACCCCTCTTGACAGTCTAACGACTATCCCTGGTAGTACTTGGCCCAGCTATCGGCTGCGGAAAGAAAAAGAGTAGAAACGTTTCTAGTCGGCTGAATTTGGGCGCTCCTGTAGTAGCCCGTACGTTTCGTAAAATCGTGGCTCGTGAATGGGCACGGCTCCAGGAAGTACTGGTGGTTTAATCCAAGGGTTTCAAATTGGTTTCTGTCTGTCGCAAAAAAGGACTGGAGGAGATTCCCTGTCAAGTAGCCGAGCGTTCTTCCCACAACAGTCTAGAAAGGTAGACTTGGCCTGACGCCAGAGATCCTACCCATCTGAAGGGTTGTTCCCACACCCCCTTAGATCTACAGTCTTCCCCAGACCAAAACGCGCGTGCGTTGTATATGAATAGAACGCACGAGGTGCGTTCTTTTCGTATACAACGCACTTGTGTAATGCTATGGAAAAAAAGCGGGAAAAAAAAAACACATAGCCCGGAAAAAATCCATTATATGTCAGTACCTTTGCATGCATCAACAAATGGTCGAAAGCGGAAAAAAAAAAACACAGAGCCCGATACCAGGGCTCTCTCTCTCCACTACTCACCAAATATTAAAAACGTTAAAAAAAATGAAAAAACCTGAATGACTCTTTTGCCATTAAATGGACATAAAATGACATTTCGTTAAAATTGACATTTTTTTCTAAAAACACGAAATTGGACACCGTTAAAATTCGTGTATTTTATGGTGCAAAAGCGGGTGTCACACGGGTTGTGACTCATACATCATAAATCATAGGTCATACATCATACGTCATTGATCATAGATCATAGATCATACAACATACATCATAGATCATATATCATACATCATACATCATACATCATAGATCACACTTCATACATCATGGACCATAGATCATACATCACATACCATAATACGACAGCTGTGACGTTGAAAATATATCATAGATCATAGGAACATCAACTATGGATTATATATCATAGATCATGTATTATATAACATACAGCATAGGAACATAAATCATTGATCATGGGTTGTGGAACACACATCATAGATCATATGTATTACAACGTACATCATGGATCATAGATCATAGATCAAACATCATAGATAATAGATCACAGATCATGCATCATGCATCATAGATCATATATGATAGATCATACATCATACACCATATATCATACATCATATACCATATATCTGACATGTGCATCATATATCATACATCATAAGGAACACATACCATGGTTATATATCATAGATGATAGGAACATAGACCATATGATCATGTGTCATTTAGGCATTCATCACATGTGTTGGATTACGGACCGCAAGGGTTGCAAGATATATTATACTATTATATATTGTATATCATGATTCATTGATCACATGTCTTACATGATATACGGTGTGGTCCTATGATGAATTTTAATTTTATATTTTTTCTGTTGTTTTGAAAAATAGTGATCGGAAAGATATGTTTCCTTGGCTTTTAGCCAGAAAAGGGAAAGACACAGTTCATGGCACTGTTGGTTTTCTTGATGGCAAGCAAAGAGTGAGAAATATATGAAATGGCAAATTATGAATTTCGACGTAGTTCAATGGCATCCGCGTAATTATCGCGAAGAATCAGGTACCTGATTGGAAAAGGACTTCAATACTTTTTACTGTTGTTGCATGTACCGTCACAGTCTCTCTACCTTCCCATTCAATGATTCGACAGTTCGATATGTTGAAAATCGAGTCCACAACTTTCTACTCTCGCTACCGGTCTCAAATGGTCAGTCTGAATCCTTTTCAAATTGCTCTGTTGAACTAACACCCTATACCGTGTGATTGAAGTTACATTGACATATAAACAATTGTAAAAACGAAAAGTTTTCTCACCTTGATGCTACACAGTCCAATGCAATTCGGTGTCTGATACGCATTATATCATCCATGCTGAACTGGAACGGTGGCAAGTGACCTCTCGCCAAAAGAGACGCATACGCAAGCATAAACACCCCGCATTGATTTATGTCCTTCTGTTTTGGAATGTCGCTGAACCGCAATTTTTTTTTGAAGCGATTGGTGTCCACTTCCTTTCCCTGTTCTGATGACCTGTCCTTCACATATCGTGCCACGTTGGCGACTACCTTTTTGGCTACGTCTATGTCTGTTTCCATCGAGTCGTAATACTCGACCACTTTCCGTCTAAGATCTATCACAAAAAGTGTCCAATGCCTCTCATGAATGTTGTGATACGGGGCTAAGATCAAGTCTTTCTCCGCGATCACTACTTCCTTGAACCACTTACCGACTTTAGCATAGTGATATCCTAACTTTTCATCCATGAGCTTAACCAGAAAAAAAAAGTTGCATATTGTTGTTTTAGGAATCAATCCTCGAGTGTCTGCAGCGGACGTGTTTGATGCCGTATCGCACTCGTGATGTGCAGTTCTACATATATTGTCTACACTTATCATGTTCATGTAGAAATTTATAATATCATCTGTTAACCATCGTGTGTCACTCATGAGCACACTGAAGTCCTGGAACGTCAACCTTAACTCCTCTTGCGTTCAGGGATTCTTCGTGCTTGATAATATTTGGTAATCGTTGAACTTTGTTTGCAAGTGGCGCAAGGCATCTTCTACGACCTCGGTCAGAGTATGCGTCGCTAATTGAATAGTCCATCCATGTATACAGCAGCGAACACCTTCGACATGTGATCTCTGTTCCACTGCACATGACAACGGAATTGCTTGTTATTAACATGTGATCGCATGAAATCACAAGTTGCACGTACGTAAGGTGAATTTATATATTTCCTATGTTCACGAAATAGAACGTACCAAAAAAACAACCATTTCTAGGTGTTTTTTTGCCCCCATGACGTCGGATGATCAGATCGTCAAGTGTCATTGCGACACTCCGTGATATGATCAGAGATAGAGGCACACACACACACACACACACAGAGAGCGAGAGCGAGAGAGAGAGAGAGAGAGAGAGAGAGAGAGAGAGAGAGAGAGAGAGAGAGAGAGAGAGAGAGAGAGAGAGAGA